AGTTTTAGCAGTAAAGATCGTGATCCAAACTAGTCATTGTGGTAGTCTACAAGCCTCTGTGTTGCAACATCCCAGCTATTCCAGGAACAGCTGTTAAAAATTGTTTACCTCTGGTTGGAAAATCTTCAGCTCCTGCAACCCAACACTTGCTCCCTGGGATATTTTCAACTTAAGGCACCTAAATGGAGGAATTAGCAATTAATCTTGGTTGCAGTAAAAACACAGGAGGCAGTACTGATGAAAATCACACCTTACCGAGCTTTTAAATCTCTGCAAAAAAATTCAATTTAAACCAGCAAATAACTAGAGCCTACTAGATGGAGAATACATTGACTCATTCTTTCACTACATGATGATCTGATAAGATAATGTCACCATATCAAAAAACAAATATTACTCAGATCACAACATAATTGTGGTTCAAGAAGTATGCGCGGTGGGAGGATCCCCCTGACTGACTAATGAGATTAGTCCAGTGGGGAGCATTCACCAATTCAACTTCAATAACAAAAAACAAAAGTGGGGACAAGTAAAGCAAATCTAATGATATAAGCTGGGGAAGATTTACAAGCAAACACAGACCCAACCTAGCTAGCACAGTATTAAACTTGGTGGCAAGCGATGTATGCCACAGGTTATTTCTCTAGAAAAGGAGGAGTAGATGTAAATCGAAGAGGCAGGGCTCTTTTACAGGCGAAGGAAAAATAATAAAGAGCGGCTAAAAGGAGGTCAAGATATCTGAAATGTGGAGGAGAGCTGGTCAGAGAAATAGCAAGCATCGCGGAAAATTAAGCTAGGAATCTTCATAGGAGTCAGGAAATCGCGGGTAAGAACTATAGCATATATGAAATCGGAAAGAACCAAGTATTTCGTCTCCTATGCCAAATCAATGTCGCGAACATGATCAGTATTGGGCACCTACTTAAAACAAGAAGGGTCCTAACAGATGACAGAAGGAAATGAGTGAGCTTACTCAAGTCCAGTATGACTCAGTTTTTAGAAGCCTCTAACAGGACTGAGAGTCGAAGATCAGATGACTTTTTATGAGAGAGCCACAGAATTTGGTTAACACTAGCCTATCTGAATGTTATCCTGACGAAAGGACTTCGAACAGGCGTAAATGACATGCCCATGCACTATGCCCCAGGGCCTGACTCATGGAACTCGTGTTCATCAAGAAACTGCAAGGAGCCCCTATCACGGGTTTTAACCATCTATGCGAGAGGGAGCATGGACACGGGGGTCGTCCCCAAGTTACAATAAACATAAGATTAGCCCCACTCACAAAGGGGGCAGTAAAGTAAGCAACAGCAAAGTAACTACAGACGATGCACAAACATCCCATATCATAAAAATCTTTGAATGGGTCTAGAAGCAAGATCACCACCCATCTAGAAACCCATTTCAATTACACAACCAGGGAAACATGGGTTTAGAAACAGGTCGACTGTCTGTCTCAACTTATTGGATCCATAGACAGGTCTAGATGCACTGGAAGGACAAAAAAGACATTCAGAATGTATATATACAGACTTGCAAAGCCTTCGACAAGTGTGACCTGGTAGATTAGCGCACAAAATGCGTGTGCTAAAGGGGATAACAGGAAAAGTCGGTCGATGGATCTATAATTTCCTCACTAACAGACACAGAGAGTAGTAGTCAACAGAGTAAAGTCCGAGGCAGCTACGGTGAAAGCTCTGTTCCACAAGGCACAGTACACTCTCCCATCTTGTTCCTCATCCTCATATCTGACATAGACAGGATGTCAGCCACAGCACCGTGTCTTCCTTTGCAGATGACACCCGAATCTGCATGACAGTGTCTTCCATTGCAGACACTGCAAGGCTCCAGGCAGACATCAACCAAATCTTTCAGTGGGCTGCAGAAAACAATATGAAGTTCAACGATGAGAAATTTCAATTACTCACACATGGTAAACACGAGGAAATTAAATCTTCATCAGAGTACAAAACAAATTCTGGCCACAAAATAGAGCGAAACACAACGTCAAAGACCTGGGAGTGATCGTGTCGGAGGATCTCATCTTCAAGGACCATAACATTGTATCAATCGCATCTGCTAGAAAAATGACAGGATGGATAATGAGAACCTTCAAACTAGGGAGGCCAAGCTCATGAACACTCTTCAGGTCACTTGTTCTATCTAGGCTGGAATATTGCTGCCACACTAACAGCACCTTACAAGGCAGGTGAAATTGCTGACCTAGAAATGTACAGAGAACCTTCACGGCACGCATAACGAGATAAAACACCTCAATTACTGGGAGCGCTTGAAGTTCCTAAAACCTGTATTCCCTGGAACGCAGGCGGGAGAGATACATGATTTTATACACCTGGAAAATCCTAGAGGGACTAGTACCGAACTTGCACACGAAAATCACTCGCTACGAAAGTGAAAGACTTGGCAGACGATGCAACATCCCCCAATGAAAAGCAGGGGTGTCACTAGCACGTTAAGAGACCATACAATAAGTGTCAGGGGCCCGAGACTGTTCAACTGCCTTCCAGCATACATAGGGGGATTACCAACAGACCCCTGGCAGTACACAAATAACCCGCACATAAAAGACAGAAGCTTACGACGACGTTTCGGTCCGACTTGGACCATTGACAAAGTGTGACTTTGTCAATGGTCCAAGTCGGACCGAAACGTCGTCGTAGCTTCTGTCTTTTATGTGCGGGTTATTTGTGTATCGTTCCAGTCACGGTATTGTGCCTTTTTGTTATTTATTTACCCCTGGCAGTCTTCAAGCTGGCACTGGACAAGCACCTAAAGTCGGTTCTGACAGCCGGGCTGTGGCTCGTACGTTGGTTTACGTGCAGCCAGCAGTAACAGCCTGGTTGATCAGGCTCTGATCCACCAGGAGGCCTGGTCACAGACCGGGCCGCGGGGGTGTTGACCCCCGGAACTCTCTCCAGGTAAACTCCAGGTATTGTCCTGTAGGTAGTAAGTCATTTCCCATTCTATGATACTATAACATATACCACTAACCTCATAACTGTAAAGAACTATGACATTCTGGCTAGGGGCCTGGAGGTCCATGAACATATATTTTCTCCACATCAGATATTTCTAAGTTGCCAAACACAAGTACATCTGTGCTTTAACTACACACTGTTTACAGTCTTCTCTTTACTGGAAACCAACTGACTACAGTGCATTTAGCTCTTGAGAGATTGTACTGATGCTTGAAAGAGTAAGCACAACATTTCAA